GTCATTCATCCTTATGACTGATCTTGGGGATGGTGCAGTGCCCCACCCCTCTCCTCCCAATCTGGCCCCAGCAGGATCACACAGCACTTGGGCCTGCTCCTCATGCCTCCTAGAAGCAGCTGCCATTTTCAGTATTCCAACAATTCCTTGCAAAAAATTGTGGTTCCTTTCAGAGCTTTCTGCCCTAATTAGCTGGCCTTTGGGAGACTGCAAACTTCTTCTGGCTCTTGCTAGGCTTTGGGGAAGCCAACCACTTGCATGCAAAGTCGACAGCTTCAAGATGAGCTTCCCCAAACTACCCTTCCAGCTTTTTTTGTTTTCTTTAGTGAAGAAATGTGAGTTTTGGGGGGAAGGACGGCATTAAGGTTTGGGGAAGCTCATCCTGAAGCTGCCACCTTTGCATGTAGGTGGCTGGCTTTCCCAAAGCCTAGCAAGAGCCAGGAGAGGTTTGCAGTCTTGATGGCCAGCTGATCAGGGCAGAGGACCAGCCTCCATGGAGGCTTGTTTGGAAGCCTCTCTGGGATTGGAACGTGGTGCTGGACCCTAATGTAGCTAGGCTCTTCCCCACTGCTGAGCTGTTGCAAAACTTTATTCTGCTTGTCAGTCTCCTTTATGAACCCAACTGGGTGGCGGGCCTCCCAGGACCTCTCCCAATCATAAGGTACCCCAAGCTTGATTTATGACCTGCACGTTCGTTTAACAGTAGCATCCGGAAGAGCAGGGGTGGGGGTCATTAAGTGATGCTGTCTCACTTAATGGTTGTCATCACTTGCAAACATAGTAGGCAGGTTCCATTACAGTCATAGGTCGAGGACTACCTGTACAGCACAATCCTGGGACAACAGGCATTTAGAACTGCTACTCACCAAGTATTAACCAAATTGTGGGGGTGGGGGAGGGGAGGATTCTGGCTCAGTATTGCTTTGTCTGGAACAATCTTCATTGGAATACTAAGATAGCTCTGTCTTTGCCTATCCATAGATATTGTGGTTCTGTAGGAACTCTTATCTTGTGTTAAGTACTGGGAAGGTAGATCATCTCCTGGTAACCATTCTTGTAAGTTATTAATATCTTGATGCTCTTTGTGATTTTTCCAGATATATTGCCAAAACTTGTGCCTTCTGGCAAAGCTCTTCTTGGACCATAAGACTCTGTATTACGATGTTGAACCATTTCTTTTCTACGTCATGACAGAAGCTGATAACACAGGATGCCACCTAATAGGCTATTTTTCCAAGGTTAGTAATCACCACCTGTGATCTGTTCCATCAGCAGGGCTTTGTGCAACAAAACAGTGTGATGATGGGTATGCTGCCCTAGCTTAACATCTGGAAATCAGTTCAGAAGTAGAATACCTGCTAAAAATTTGTTCAAGCTAGGATTGACATTTCCAAAATATTGGCACAATTGGGGGGGGGGGGGGGTATAGAATGTTTTGGATGTACAATCACTTCTATTATAACATAAAATTTATTACAGGTAGTCCTTGACTTATGACCACAATTGGGGCTGGAATTTCTGTCACTAAGCAATGTGGTCATTAAGCGAGTCATCCCATGACAGGACCCAATTTATGAGCATTTTTACTACAGTTGTTAAGTGAATCGTAGTTAAGTAAATCTGTCACGCTGCCCTCACTTAACCTCCAAATAGAAATGATCCTTGACTCCATTTGTTGAGAAAGGTATAGTTTTATTAGAAATCAAGTGGATTACAGTAATGCATAGCCAGAACTGAGATTTGTGCGCCAAAATCCCAAATGTTATACTTTCCCCTTTCCCCCTCCTTGATTGGTTTTCATTTCCCACCCCAAGGTATCCAATTAAAATATTACAAGCTGTTTTCCTAATGGTCAGGTGTGCTCTGTTATGCCTCCTCATCCTTCCAGCTGGGCGACCTTGAAGCAGTTTCTTGAGACGGCACATCACATTTCGGTTTCCCAAGTATTCTTCCTTCTCTGCCCCCCCTCCATAGTTCATGGCAGACTGTCACCACATGTGATGACCCGTAGTCTCTCAAAATAACCCAAAACCCAAAACATATATTAAAGTCCGGTAAAGCCTTCAACTTAACTTCACTGTTTTATTAGGCACAGTTTAAAGTCACAAAAGTAAATAATGAGGCAAACAGAAAACCAAAACAAACCGCATTGATGAGAGTTCCGAAGCAAGCCAAGATAACTAATTATAAACTCCAGGAAAATAACCAAGGAGAGTCCATGGGAAGAACGCCAGCAAAGATAAACCTCTTTCAAGGTAAACACTAATTGACTTCAGCAATTCTAACTGCGCAGTTGCAAACTTATATACATAGCTCCCAGCTGCAAGCCACGAGGAGGATCATGATAATCTCCTCTTGAGTAGACCTCGCTTTTCCCTGATCCTCTCCTCCCTGCGTGACCTAAGATGGAATAGGGGATGGGCCTGGATCCTCCTCTGACTGCTCAGCCGGCTTCCACCCTTCCCCAGCCTCCTCCACCACCTCTGGAGCCACACTCCCACTCCCTGTTGACTGTTCCTCCTCTTCCTCAGAGTCAGACTCCACCAGGGGCATGACAGGAAAGGAGAAGGAGAAAGGTCAATAATTTAGTGAGGTTTATCAGGATCCTGGGCACAGAATTTAATGTAAACATTTTGGTGCCCGTACATGTTGGGCAGCCACCCATTCAGCTTCAGTGGAGGGGAAATGCTTCCATGAGATCAGGTATTGGAGTTTGCCCCTATGTAAACATGAGTCCAAAATTTCCTTCACTTCAAATGTTGCTCACCTTCAATGAGATTGGGTGGAGAAGGGTTTTTTGCAAGTGGTTGTAAGGAGGAGGTTTGGGCTGGTGAGTTCAACAGTTACTGGGTTAATAATTCTCAAAATGGGGAAAGGACCTACAAATTTAGAGCCAAGCTTTTTTGACCAGCCCTCGGCAGAGAGAGCAGACATGCAGAAGCGGGACTCTCCTGAATAATCTAATTAAAAGCCTAAAAAACCCTAAACATGCACAGAATTGCAACCACATGAAAAGAAAAAGTGAATGGAAGAAAAGACTGGATTTGGAGAGAAGAGAAATCTTGGAAATCAAACATTTATTTGGATGCAAAGTTTATTCTGCTGAGTTCTGTGTAGTGTGATCAGACTGCAGTTCCTTTGTTCTGATGACATTGAGAAAATACCAGCATTGAGAAAGTTTTTCAGCATAGAGAACATTTTCTTTATATAGACTGAACTATTTTCTTCAATATTGACTGCATAGTTCTTTTTACCATTAACAGAGCATACTTACACAGACATAATTGCATTAGTGTTATTTTTCCCTCTTTCTTTCTCTAATGAATGAAGTGCAGATATTTTTCCAAGGGTGTCCAACCATTTTTTCTAACAACCTCTGTATCTGTCGCCAAAATTCCCTTGCTTTTTTGCAAGTCCACCACATGTATGTGCCTGGTAGTTGTTTGCATTTCCAGCATTTTGGTGATGTATTACTAAACATTTTAGCCAATCTAGCTGGAGGAAGATGCCACCTGTAAAACAGTTTATATAAATTCTCTTTGTATGATGTGGCCAATGTTAATTTCCTATTTCTTTCCCAAAGTTTTTGCCACCTCTCCAATTCAATATTGTATCCAAAGTTTTTGGCTGATACCACCATTTTCTCTTTAACCTGCTCTTCCATTTTGTAATCTAGTAGATATTTATATATTATCTTTATCATTTTATCATCAGTCCCCACTAGTAATTTATCTAGTATTGTTAATTCTGTATTAATACCCCACATTTTCACATCCTGCATGTAGTGTGATTGTATTTGTAGGTATGACCACCATTCCAATTCCACCCCTTGTTCTTTTAATTCTTGTCTAGTTTTCAATTTCCCTTTTTCATTTAATATGTCCTTGTATGAGACAATTTTTGCCATATTTGGGTGTACCAACGCTTCCAAAGTGGAAAGCCAGACTGGTATTTTCATATAGTTTTGTTGTTTGATTTTGTTCCATACTGCCAGTAGAGCATGTCTTATGTAATGCCTTTGAAAATATTGATGTGCCGTGTTTTTTCCATATCAAAGGAATGCATGCCACCCTAATTGAATATTGTGGTCCTCCGATGTTAGTAATCTCCTCTTCCTTAAGGTTATCCACTCTTTTGTCCATGTAAGTGTTACAGCTTGGTAATACAGTTCCCAGTCAGGCAAGCCAAACCCTCCTTTCTCTTTTGATTCTTGTAATAGTTTCGATTTAATTCTCAGTTTCTTTCCTTGCCATATAAATTTTGACATTGTTTTATTCAAATTCTCAAAATATTTTTTCTCTAGTTTTATGGGTATGTTTTGAAATAAAAATAGTATCTTTGGTAGAATATTCATTTTTATTGCTGCTATTCTGCCCATTAAAGAGAGTTGCAGGTTCTTCCATCTTTCTAGGTCCAGCTTTATTTGATTTGTTAGTTTATTATAATTATCCTCTTTAACTGTTATACACCTTTCAGTTAAATAGATTCCTAGATACTTCACTTTTTTCACTATCTGGATATTTATTCCTTTTGTCAATTCATCCTTCTGTTTGTCATGTTCTTGACTATCATTTTGGTTTTTTCCTTGTTTATTTTTAATCCAGCTACTTCACCATATTCCTCCAATTCCTCCATAAGTCTCAAGCCTGATTGCAATGGTTCCTCTAAAATAAACACTAGGTCATCTGCGAAGGCTTGTAGTTTTAAACTTTTCTTTTTTTAATTTCCAGTCCTTTAATTCTCTCAACTTTCCAAATAATCCTCGTATTTCCAATGTTGGGATAAACAATAACAGAGATAATGGGCAGCCTTGCCTTGTACCTTTCTGGATTGTAAAATTTTGTGTCACCTCGCCATTCACTATTACTTTAGCTTCCTGTTTCGAATATATTGCCATGAACATGTTTATAAATTTATCACCAAAATCTATATGTCTTAATTGTTGTAACATAAATTTCCATTTCACATTATCAATGTGATGCCTTTTGGACATCTAGGAACAATAATGCCACTTGTTTCTTACTGTGTATTTCATAGTATTCCGTTATGTCTAGAATTGTTCTCATATTATTTCTTATCTGTCTTTTGGGCCGAAAACCATTTTGATCAACATGTGTTGTGGTTAGCCGGCAGCAGGTATGAACGGTGGAGGAGAGCGAGGCCTCAGATGAGGGGCCAGGACCATTAGGGAGTGAACTGCTGCCTTCAGAGATTGTGGGGGCTGGCAGCAGTGATGAGGAGGTTCCCGAGGAGCCTGTGCCAAGTGCGCATGCATGAAGGATTGCTTGGAGGAAAGAACAGTTACAACAGCACGGGCGACTCGGGAGTAAGGCTGCAAGGTAATGGCCCCTCCTTCAAGAAGATAAAAGCCAGCTGTGAAATTAACCTTCTTTGCAGAAGGCAAAGAAGTTTTGAACTCAGCCTCGTGGACATTACAGTTGGTATTTGAAGACTCTTGTAAACTATTTCTTATCTGTTGTTTTTTGTCAGTCTTGAAAAAACTTGGCAAGGCTCTTTCTTGTCGGAGCTAATTAGTTGGAAGCAGCTTTTTATCTGTGAAGAAACAGGATTCTTAGCTGAAACTTAAACAGATTATACTGCTGCCTTTGTCTTGTGTTTGCTTTCTTGGAACCAGGTTTGGGTCAGAACAACATGTATGAACTCATTCAGAAACCTTTTCAATCTTTCAGCTATTATTGATGTAAATATTTTATATTTAGTAGGGAGATGGGCCTGTAATTTTTAATTAATGTTACGTCAGTGTCTTCTGGGATCAGCGTGATGTTAGCTTCTACCCATGATGGTGGTATCTTCGCTTCCATTAGGACTGCATTGTATACTTCTAATAATGTTTGGCCTAGGATGCCTTGTAGGTCTTTGTATATTTCTGCTGGTAGCCTGTAGGCTCTCGGCGTTTTATTATTTTGTTTTAGGATTCTTTTTTGTGGTTTCTTTTGTAGCTCTACCTCAAGTCTTCTATATTCTTCTTCTAGCCATTTTTGTTGTTGCTTCTTCTTTTTGTTTTTCTTAGCCATATATGATATAGCAACTCCCCTCATATATGCTTTTGCTGTATCCCATAGATTTTGTAGGGATGTGTCTTCTTGTTTTCACTGAAGAATTCAATTTGCTTTTCCATCGTTTGTCTAAATTGTTTGTCATTCAAAATTGATCGATTTGGAGTCCATCTTATGTTTTTCTTTTGTCCTTTCCAGCTAATCCTCATTGGGTTATGATC